CCCCCCCCCCCCCCGTCCTAAACACGAAAGCTAGGTGCTTTTCAGACTGGCAGCTTAGCGCATTATTTTGACTCCGAAGCACCTAACAAAGAATTGGTGCTGTCCTAATTAATAACCACGGAAAAATAGTACATGGGATTATTCGCTTCAATTGGACTTTTTTATTCCGGTTGGAGGAGAAATTACCAAACGTTTAGCATTCCCTCACGCTTGGCGCCAATGACACTTTTTTAGAGAAAAAAAGAAAATTATGCATTCACCATATGAATACTAGATAATTTGGCTGTGTCAAGATGAACTAAAATTTAGGTCATAACACAACTTGCCGAACTCTTACCAAGCTTTTATTAATGTATTATTTTCTTATGAATTGTTAAATTATCAAATAAGATATTTTATTTTTGTTATGGTCATATATAATATATCAAACAAAAAATATATTTTAAATTTTTTTTAGCAAAGTTATTCTTGGATCAATTTAGATTAAAAATTAGCCCAACTTTAGATGATACAAAATCCTAAATAGTACAACTGCGGGGAATATTCACTTAAATATTCTTTGGGGAACCCCTCAACATAGAACTAGACGTTACTACTCTAATAGAAGGAATGCTCATCCTCGTTCTCCGTTGAGCTATCTCGACCTCGACGACGACATATTTTTTTCTCGTGACCTCGATCTTTTGAAGCCAAATCATTATATCATGTTGACGACACGTGGTAGCCTTCGAAGGATTTTTTAATGTTGACTTGGTCACATTTATGGTAATTTTTAGCCCATATAGTTAGTCCCTCCACTTGTTGAGGCCGTCCTCGTGGGTGAGTTCAATGAGCGGATAACAACGGTCGTGGTCGTTGTGAAAGACATGCGATGTGGCGCTTTGCGAACCGTATATCTCAAATCTTAAATTTTCCAGGTGATTCATTGGAACCATATTGTCAAAGAGAAGATGTGACGTCATGACGTCATTCGTTATGATGATGCCGGTTCCCGACGTGTCACGTCACGCGCGACCCCTACTTGGCTCTCCCGTTTAGATTCTAGTGACAATTATGGTTAATCGTTTCGAGTTCAGTGCCCTCTTCTCTATAAAAGGGGGTGTCTTCACCAGAATTCAAACTTTATATTCTCTAAACTTCTTCTTTGAATTTGCTTCTTTTGCTTCATAACAGTTCCTCGTATTTGCAGCTTTTACTCTCTTCATTTTTCTCAGCTTCCATAACCATGTCGAACCTTCCTTCTGATGTAAATGAGGAGAACCATTCCATTCCTTTAGTTGTTATATTTTCTGTTCACGGGGAAGACATCATTGTCGCTGCTGAGGAGGAGGCTCTCCATTCAGTGGAGGAGATCATCCCATGTTATCTTGATGCCAAACCTGATCTCCAACGGCCACCGGAAGTGATGACCGAGAAATTCCAATCCACGATGAGGGCCAGACACTTGGCTGAGTTTAAAACCAAATATGGCCTTCCCGACCATGTGGAGCTAGTTAACACTAGTAGTGGTGAAGTACACATCCATCGTCCTGGGTACTGTGCTCTCTATGCCTACCTATTCGCCATCGGTTATCCATTCTCCCTCCTTCTGCCGGTGGAGGAATTTTGTTACCAATAGAATGTTTTCCCTGCTCAGCTCGC